GTCATTCTGCAACTTCAATGTACATCTATTAGAATTCCGGCCTAATGGTGCTGGGAATCGAGATTTCACACGACGTAGAAATAGATAAAATGTCAAAAATACTCACATTTTTCCATTTGACTGGTGATTTTCCATCTAACTTTCCTTTTTCAATCTCTTCAATGATCACTCCATTTGATGAAATTTCCGACTCTAGTGATTTCTTAATTAGTATCAACTTCTTTCTCAACGTTCCTATTCGTTTTGTGGGAAAAACCTTTATGACTGGTTTATAACCTAAACACCAATTAAACTCAAAAGAGTATCCACTTAAACCCAAAATAAAAACCAAAAGAGACAACTTTGGCAGAAGGTTATCTCAGGAACAAAAAGTTGATCTACCTTGTATTTGCAGACTATCATAATAATTTTTACCATATTTTCAAGGGTAATGCATCACTTGGTGATTTGATCCCCCCATCATATGGGAGACATGATATGTTAATTGAAGTTTAAAACAGTGAACTTTGAGTCGCCATCATAAATCCGTAATACCAATGAGGAAATAAGTGCATTTAACAACGATTTGGACTTTCTAACGGATGTAGATTAACCAATTAAATATAAAATGTCAACTTCTAAAGAATAGGAGTACCCTTTTCACTTTCACTAGATAAGAACCACCCAGTAAGCACACTTGACCAATTATTTGACACCGACGACTAATTTACGTGTATAACCAACATTGGATATCGATCTACTTATATCATACGCAGTGAGCAATCAATCAGTTGGAGCAGATTCTCATCCAATATATATAAACCCAATTCAAAGATGGTTTAATTCATTAAGTACAAAAAAAAAAAATCAACCATCACTCTAGATAGAGCAAGGAAAGTAAGATTGATTCTAAAATCTACTTTTTCAGCACACCAAACATCTTCTTTAGGTGCCCGATGATGCTGATTACGTTGAGAAAGAGATCGAAAATCGGACCCCATGTTTTAGTGAAGGAAATCACAGTTACTTTGACAGACTCTAGGCGAGGTGGTGGTGGTTTCTTCTCTTCAATAGCCTTCAAAACTGGTGGTTCGCAAACAGACGATGAATTTGGACCCTTTGACCTATCGCTTCAATGTGACTCGGTTTGGATTCTTAATCGGGACCGGATTAGAAAAAAAATCCGGTCCTTGAGATCTGAAATCCGGTCTGAATCGCCGCCATATGAAATTACATGGGGCAAATTTGCATTGCTATTTGACCTTCTATTACCATTATGTAATGGAGGGAGTATATCCATTACCATTAAAATAGAACAAAAATTTGCATTGCTAAACAATATTTTTATGAAACTAAAAATTTATAATGACGCTTCTAATAGACTAAAAACTCTATATCTTTCGTAAAAATATCGTTTTACAGTATTATTTTTGTTTTGTAGAAAAAATCATTTAAAACATTTATGAAACATCTGTTAGCAAAAAAAAAACATTTGTGAAAAATAGCGACTAGTATTTTTTTTCTTTTGGACAAAATCACAAATTCCCACTTATATCCGAAGTTCTCAGCTCAGCATTTTGATTATGATAAAAGCAACTTATAATTAAGGTTCCAGTGACTAGTTCAAGTTACGTTCACTTTGCTTCTTAAAATTCTCTTTTGACTTATTAATACAAACAGCAAATTAAATTCTGCCATACGTAAACTCCTACGGCGGCGCCTTTAATCAAAATATAATCGTAAATTTGATTAGTGTGATTTAAACGTATAATTTCTTAGAGAAATTTGAGAGTGATTGTCATCAAGTTGTTTCAATAAGAAAGGACGAATCTTTTTTATACTTCCTCAATGGTGCCAAATGGCATAGATTAATGCCAATTGATTTGCACAATTTTATGTGAGAATTTTATTTAATCTTCGATATACCGAATCATCTATTGATTTGGTTATAATTTGCCGATCAAAAGAACTGTTGGACCCAACCATACCACAAATTATAATATACAATGTTTTCTTTGTAATATATATTATCATCTTATATGGAAAAAATCTAGTAGTCTAAAAACTCTATACGACTAAACCATATAAAATATCCATTATCCATCAATCATTTTGCCATTTTTTTCTAGTCTACAACTTGCACGAAACACTTAGACTCTAAATGATGACCACTAAAAGAGAAAAAAATGAAAAGGAACAATGAATTTCTCTCAATCTTTTAAAAATTACACCATTTATAAGAAATTTTTGGTACTTATGATTCCTCTTCATTCTTATTCGTGCAAAAAAATTAAAGAACAAAATTATTCCTAATCAAATTTGAGAAAGAACAAGATAAACCAATTTTTTTTACAATTTCTTCTCATTCCTAAAATTTTTGTTCTTTTTTATTTTTTTTCCTTATCTTTCTTTTTGTTCTTTCAGGGGTAGCCAGTTAGAATTGTGAATTGTATGTAAAAGAGAACTAGTGAAAAAAATTGAGATATAAATTCCACTTATCAGCCACTAATTTTGCTATATGATGAGGACTTAGCTGGATAGTCATCATCAAGAAAACTTTCAGATTTTTCCGTTTATATCTCAGATGAAATCAGTGAGATATAAATTCCATTTATCAGTAAAGTAAGGCTTAAAGATTTTTCCGTTTTACGACTCCGATTCTGGTTTCAGATTTTATACCAAACAACTAATTCTTACAACGTGTCTAGCCAATAGTTTTATTACACGTCAGCTAATCCATCGTCACCTTCCATCACGTTTAAAACAACAAAATACCACGTGGCAACATCTCGACCGCTGAACCAAATGGTCGTGTGATGGTTATGGTGAATAAATAATCTATTTAGGGGGTGTTATTGAATTAGTGTTTTTAATGTATTTTAAAATCAGAGGAAAATCCGTGTTATTGAATTGTGTATTTGATATAAATACATTAAAATTTCTTGTTATTGGATTAAGCATTTGTTTGATGTATTCTAAAATACAATAAAATCAAGTGTTATTCAATTGATCCTTGATTTTAGGGAATTTTAGTTATAATGGATTTTAGTGGATTTTTTCCCCTAAAACTGAGTAACACAAATCCGTGCTTTTCACTTCTTCTTTTGATGGATTTCAGATTAAAATAAAATAAAGAAAATATTTTCACAATTTTCTTCTCTCACCATAACCAACCTGTGAATCTTCCTCGTGAGACTTTGGCTGGAAAACGAAGAAGAAAAAAACCACCACGCACAAAGCACAAAGCATCTTTTAATAATTATCCCTTTAATTTTTGTTATATTCTTCGCAATTAAACATTTTTTTTTTTTGCAATTAAACAGATTTAAGAATAATCAAAGCGAAAACTGCAAATTGCAGGTGCTATGATCAATGTTAAGTTGACCCAACAAAAGAATACTCACCTGGAAATCAAAATAACCCCAAACCCACAGTGTAACGAACAAATTCATGTTTTGTTTTTGGATCTTTGACAACATATTAAAGACAATAAAGATAAATTTACAATGTTTAAGGTCTGGACATTACACACCAATGTCCATGTTTTTGGGGGGCATATTTCGATTTTGAAAGTATTAGATCAATAGCCATTATCAATTATCATAACTTTTTTCTCAATAAAATACATGCAAAAAATCGTGGATGATTATAAATGCATCAAAATCCAACAAAATACTTCCACATACAATTACAGCAAAATACATAAAAACCCANTACAATCAACGTGGGTCAATTGTGAATTCATCAAAATCCGATAAAATATTTACAAATAAAATACATTAAAAACACCAATCCAATAACACCTCCTTAATTAACTAATGGGATCTAAGAAATGATGTAAGCAAGGGTTAACAAAATTAGTATTATAATTGGGTGTAAATAGAGCAAATTAGTATTTATTGGTATTAAATGTAAATTAGAGAGGCGATTTTGGCATAATTAGAGAAAAGCATATCCATTAGGTTTACTTACCATTAGAATATAACAAAAAAAAAATCATGACTCGCCCACTTTCTTTTCTCGTTTAATCAAATCTGAAATGTTTCTTGATTTAACCAAAATGATTTCTCACGCAACAAGACTCCACACCTTTCCCTTTCGCTTTTTCTTCCTTCTTCTTAAAACTTCTCTCAAATCCGATGGGTTATCTCTCTTGCAAAGCCGGATCCGCCGTAGCAATCGCCGTCTCTTCTTCCGCATCAACCTCCGGATCTGGTAAACCTTCTCCTCCCGAATCACCACCTGAAGACCGACCCAGGCTTCGTCGTTTTCTGCATCGCGACCTTGAAGCGGCAACAGGCGGATTCGCCGTCAACAATCTCCTCGGTCGTGGAAGCCACGGAAGCGTTTACAAAGCGGTAATCGGTTCACGCCTCGTCGCCGTCAAGAGACCTTCGAAATCTCGAGAAATCAGCCGCGAGTTCCGCAACGAATTCGAGATTCTCTCGAGGATCCGTAGCCCTAGGTTCGTGAATCTCATCGGTTTTAGCGCCGATAACGCCAAGGATCCACTCATCGTTGTCGAATTCATGGGTAACGGAAGTCTATACGACGTGATTCACTCTGATTCACCTTCGAATTTCGGTGCGATTTCGAGCTGGGGAAAGAGAATCAAAATCGCGCTTCAGATTGCAAAAGCCGTATATCTTTTACATTCACAGGAGCCACCGATCATACACAGAGACATCAAATCGGCGAACGTGTTGATGGATAAGAACCTCAACGCGAAGCTAGGAGATTTCGGTTTAGCGATCAGATGTAATGCGGATGATCAGAAGATGAAATCGACTCCACCTGCAGGTACAATGGGTTACCTAGACCCAGACTACGTTACGGCTGATAGGTTAAGCACTAAAACAGATGTGTTCAGCTTTGGGATCTTGTTGCTTGAGATAATCAGTGGAAGAAAAGCCATCGATGTTAGATACTCGCCGTCGTTTATAGTGGATTGGGCGATTCCGATGATAAAAAGAGGGAAAATCGGTGGGATATACGATCCAAGGATCGGAGCTCCGGTGGATGTAAGCGTGAGGAACCATCTGGGATTGGTGGCGGCTAAGTGCGTGAGGACGTGTAGAGAGAAAAGACCAGGAATGGAGGAAGTGGTTGGGTGGCTCACGGGGCTAACCAAGTCGGTTAGGTCACGGCGTTGGGATGAGTTTGGCATTGGAAACCCGTGTATGATGGTCGAGACCGTGGGTCGACCCGTGGAATGATTTTCTGTTTTTTAATCAAAGTGCTTTTGCTTTGAAGCCAGTTTTTTTGGGGTCAATTTATTCATTCAAAATGTATAACAAGAAGATTTTTGTAAGCAACTTTAAACATCATGTTGCGTACCATTAAAGTGAAAATGATTAAAATATAATAAATGTTTATGAATTTTAATGGGAGGTTCTATGTAACTAGTTTTTAGACACTTTAATGAAAATGTGTTTTAATAAAATTAATATTAAAAAATGAGTTTAGACACTTTAAGGGGGCATCTGTATTCATACGGTCTTTACAAAAATTACATATCCAACCACTTGTATCCATCCATTTTATTTTTCACTCGGATCCAATCTTAAAAGAAAAAAAAATCGATAATCAAAATTGAAGCTTTCTATCGTTCATGCCTCAACTTCTCTATAAACCCAGATACCAATCGACAAATAAAGTTACAATTTTCGGTTGCGAGCTCTCTTTCCAAAATTTATACGATTTTCTTTTGCCAATTGTCATGGCTCTCCGTCGATCCACTAATTCGCAGCACATATACAGAACCACCGTTGTAATTTGGTGAGTCCCGTCTCTGGAAATTTCTCATCGAGGTCGATCAATTGAGGAGGAAGAAGAGTATCGGAAAGCACGAACCACTGTGAATCGGAAAAAGACAGCGAATTAGAGAGTTATGCAACCAGAAGGTATTTCCGTCGATGGCCACGAGATGTACATTATCATCTCAAAGCTCAAATGGGTATTTGATATCAGGAGATGCCAAAAAAGCTGCTAATGTGGCCAATGCTAAGGGTATTCTCTTGGGCAGAGCTCATTATGTTGATGCTCTTTCATTACTCATGAGAATCAATATTTCTGCGAAACCTATAGAGCCAACGAAGATGATGGAGAGGTTGAAGGACTCACAATGTAAAAAGAACCTAAAATTTAAGGTGTTGCATCAACCTTTTTCTAGCTTTGGAGACTGGGAATCAAAGGACAAGAACATAAAGTGTCATTCTCAAGAATGTGTGGCGGAGTAACGGAACAGTGACATTGTCGAAGGAAGGATCTCAATGTGGTTCATGAAATTTTTGTGTCTTAATAACTTGAATGAATGGGTTATTGGTTGATGTTAGTGTCTTTTGTTGTTGCGTATGATGTATGATGGAATTATATTGTTCTGTACAATTGGATTACTTAAGTACAACTGGATTTATTAGGGACAACAAAGTACTTATGCACAACTGAGTTTACCAAGGACAACTAAGTTTATTGTGTAAAAACATTAAAAACACATATTAATAGTTTGACAAAAAAAAACACATGTTAATAAGAACACAGCCAGCACCGTTATTATTGGCTATAGTTAAGAAATGCAACTGAAAAAATTGACACATGACAATTATATGAATTAAAAATTCTGGATTTTTTCAAATAGTTATCCCTAATTTTTGGTTGTACATAAAGTGCAAACAGTTGTACTTTTCTGAATTTTAACTTTATATTAGTTATACCAATAAAAAATTAAAGTTATTTAGTTGTACACATATCATATGGCCATTCTTACATTGCCCCAAGGTTTTCATGTTG